CGGTCATGGGCGAAGGCGGCGGCCCTGGGGGCGGCCCCGGCGGCGACGGGAAGGTGGCGCAGGCCCTGAGGGACTCCAAGACGGCGTGCCAGGGCCACCGCTGTCCGCTGGGCCAGTGCCTGCCCAAGAACCGGGTGTGCAACGGCTTCATTGAGTGCAGCGACGGCTCAGACGAGCGGGGGTGCTGGTGACGGGATGGGACGGGCAGAAGTCCGTCATGAAAATGGGAATGGATAAACATTTAACACGCTGCCCAGTTCAAGATGGTCGTGTTTACAAAATAGTAATAGATTTGCTCTGGGTGGCTGTGGAGTAGTTCCCAATATTCGACCTAGGAGGCAGGCAATAACTGCATCTCTTTTGTGCCAATGGATTGTTCATAGAAGGGACGTTTACGTACAATTTTAATAATAATTTTGCAGTTGCCGTAAGAGTGTAAGATATAAGATGAGCTAAACGGACGTGTTTCCCTGACATCAGAAATGTGATGGATAGTAATAGTGTAAATGGCTCCTGACTTCAAAATGTATTGTCATCAGTTTAGGTGTTCCATAAAGCAGCAGTGTACTGGTAAAATATTTTATGTATCTTCCAAGTGATATTATATTTATAAGGGAAGTATTTTAGTATTTAAAGTAGTACCTGTTTTAGTTTAGTTGATTGTGCTGTAACTTATTTTTGTATGCTCAAACACTTCAATATTTTGAGTACTCACTGTATGATAAACATAACTGGAGCATGCTTGTGGGTGGAGCTATAATAAGACAATGAATATTTAGATTCAACAATGTACTTACTTCAAATATTTACACTACAAGGCTTAAAGAAAAACCAACACACAATATCTTAAAGAAAAGGGACTTTATAAGTTTAAAAAATAATTATGAAGAGAAAATATTCATAGTAAGACTAAAGAACACATATCTCACTTAGGTTGAGTAACTCATCACAGACATTAGAATGGTCACAATCTTTAAGCAAAATGTGAAATCAATACCATTTAAGAACATCTGTAAATAGTAGATTTGTACAGAATTATTCATACTTCATGTTATGATCACTCTTTGATCATCTAAACCATAAGAATGTTGGATTGTTATGAAAAGAAAACCCTTTAGGAATTAGCTTTTGTATAATTATAGTTTACAACACAAATCTGATGAGCTAAATTGGACAATTGACTGAACAAATTCAATAAAAACCTAGCACAATGTGCATTTTTCAACAATGCTCATTGGGCAAATAGGCTAATACTCGGGAATTATCATTTAAAAGATGTTTAAGTGATATCTTTTTTTGGGCCAGTCTTAGTTTTTCAGTCATGCAGACAAAGGCAAAATTTCAAAGAAAGCACTTCCTAGATATGTAATATTCGTGATAATAAAATATAAAATAAATTATGACAGTATAACCATCATGTTTTGTACGGATGTACTGGTAATCAGACACATTATCTGAAAGTGTACATAATGAATGGATGTAAAATATGATGCTACATGCCAACATAATCCTACAAAATGGAATAGTAAATCTAATTCATTCAACTCTTTTTCCAGCTGCAGTACAGGTCACATGGAGAGTATTATCACACCACAAAATGCTGTCATGTTCATGAATATAAAATCATCTTCATAAACAAATATTGATTACATTGACTACCCCACTGCACATCCCAAAAGAAATGTGTAGTATATGTAATGGAATCAAATGATACAGCTTATCCTCATACTCAATCTAAAATATCACTTACAAATTAATCAATGGCAGTTGAAAGTTGATACCTAACTGAAAAATTACAGTATATACAAAATTCGAATAATCCTGAAAATAATTGAATATGAAAATGACACTTCCCATGAACATTCATAAATCCAAGCTTTACCACAACCAAATTCTTTTTCCCTAAGGGATACTTGTACTTTTTATTCACAGGTCTCTAAAAACTAAAAATGCAATACCCCAGACTGTTTACACTACTTCTGTATCACATATCAAAAAGAGAAAAAGAAAATTGTACCTTGATTATTTAAAGAAAGGAACATACTCTAAATCAACTACAATATAAGAAAACTTGCAAAGAAGTTGTCAGGAAAGGCAAACGCATACTGAATATTCAAGATTTCACATACAATCTAACTACTCAATTACTGAACACACAAGATATCGACTTGAAAACCTAAAAGTACTTTAAAAGTGACTTCTAAAGTTAAATGCATGCCTAAAGAGTAAAACAGAAAATTCTTGCTGCTTTGAATTGAACATGAACAGTTTGGATTTCTTTAATATCACAAAAACTCTGATGGTGAGTTTCCAAGTTGTAAAGCTATCTCATGGAATAAATATATAGGGTGTCCCAGAGACCCTGTACTACATTTTTGTCATCATGTACCGCTTTATGCTAGCGGGCTCGCTTGCCTATCGTTGTTATCGTCGATTGCTCTGCCGACTTATGGTACCGAGCAAGTATGCAACCCACCCATGCACTGGCAGAGTAGTATATGCAACAAATACACGGAGCCTATAGGACCCCCTAGACTCTTTATCAGGTGAAGAGGACTACATTTCAAGTAAGTACAGTACATATCATTATGGTGACATCATGAACACATCAATGCTGAATGTCAGTACCAAAAATAGGAACATCATTGACTATGTATCAATTGCACAACTTTTGAGAAATTAACGTTGGACATTTTTAACAATTTAGAAACAGTCCCAAATATCTAGTACCTGTTCACATTAGAAGCATAACAAAAGAAAAGACAGTTTCTTCCCAGTTGTACAATTCTGAACAAATTCTTCCTAAATAAATTAAAAGATGCAAGTCTTAGAAGATGTTAAAACTTACTGAAAGTTTTTACTGGTTTTATGAACAATGAATGATGACTTGTCAAGAAATAGAAAAGAAGGAAATACATTTCCTGCTTGTAATCAGGAAATACAGTGTCACTAGTGACTGAAGTTCATAAAAATTTAAATAATGCCAAGCACGGCTTGTTGAGAATGTTGACTGATTCAATTTGAAAACTACAAACAAATATTGTTTCATTACCAGCCGTTAAAATTTGCCAGATCAGAAATCCAATCATGACCTGAATTTCGTGTGTTGTTAGACAAAACACTTTGATTGCTGTCACTATTATTAAAATACCGCGACTTTACCTCTGCATTACTTCTTACATTAGGTGCATTATTTGCAGCGATCTGAGAAGCAACTTTAGTTTTTGGCACTCCATTACTGAAAGGCGACGTCAACATTTGATTTTCAGCTAAATGAGCTTGCACCTTCACATTTAAATCATTTTGAAATTGATTGTAGGAATAGTTTAAGGGAGTTTCTGTTGGCTCATTCAATTGATGAGCACCGTTAACAAAACTATCGTGAGAAGTGGTGTTTTCTTCTGACTCAGCATGAGTCTCTGGTGCTGGTGAGTCGTTTTCTCTTTTGACACTTTCATATGATTCATCAATCAACAGTCCATCTTGAGACTCCATACTCTGATTTTCACTTCCTTCTTCTTCATCATCATCATTATGAACATTATGTGAAGTATCGCCAAATAAATCCATCACACCCCCACCAAAACCTTGTAATATAGGATCAGAATTTCTAGAACGTTTTCTGAAAAATATGAAATACGTAAGATTACAAGATACCTTTTGAAAGAAGATACACAAGTACAAAGTTCAAAATCACTTGAACAAACCTAGAATCATTGTTGATATGATGGACATTACGCATGTGTCGGAGTAGATGATCTCTACGACTGAGGATTTTGTTACACATGGGACATTGCATGGGAACATTTTTCCTGCAGGAGGAACATAGAAAATTGAAAATTAAACATACACATATCACATACTCTCTGGAAACATTCATATTTTTGTAAAGGTTTAAAGGTGTTTGAAAATTTAGGAATTTAGGAGTACTAGCATATAACCAATCCAACCCATAGCCTTCTGAACCAAGTGAGAAGAGAGTTTTGACTGCATTTTTTAAGATTATTGAATTAACTACCAAAGAAGACACGCAATTCACAATCCTATCCTAGCATGATTATTACTGATGCCCTCATCAGGTTGAAGTCAGACTATGATGAACATGGAGAGTTGAGAAAAGAGTGAACAGTTAGTCAGAGAAGTTTAAAGAGATGTTGGTACACTGCTACATTAAAATTACCCTGGCTAGAACTCACGTGGTCACAATAGAACTTTTTTCATCTGACGTGTGAACTGCTGGAGGTCCTGGACTTGGTTTCAAAGTTAACTTCTCACTGTGGCATTGAAACAAAACCATAGCAAACACATAACCTTCTCATTGATATTTGATCCCCCATAGAATTACAAGACAAAGTAATATTACCTATACATGTACCAATGTAAAAGAGTGAAAATTAAATTGGCGAAGATATTTGGAAACGATTTAGATTGTATTGCATTTAAATAGTAACAAAAAAAAAATGAGGAAAAAAAGGACAACTGAAAGGTACTTACGGTGCACTTTGTGATGGAAGGTGAACTATTCCATGCATGCGCATCATGTGTCGCTAAGATATTGATACAAGCAGAAACAATTAGTACACTTAAAAGACAAAATTATTGCTATAAGATACAAAATTTTAACAGTGCTTACCTTCAAATGGTCGGGACGTAAAAATGCAGTGGTGCATACTTCACAATTGTAACGGCGCACATTATTGTGAGAATCTTCATGTCGTCTCATATGATTTTTATATTTAAACCGAGCTTTACAAACACTACAAGCAAAGGTGTATGTGGCTCTTTCGGCGGCACATGCCTGCACAAAAATTAAGACAGTTAATTAAGTAACTAAAATAAAGGTACCTACTCTGTAACACAAAAAGTTATATTAATAAATAAGACATACAGCAAAATTATGGCTTTTGTAGGTGTCTTCATCACTAAACTGTTTTAAACATGTTTGACAGCTAAGTTTAGGAGTATCCTTATTGGGAAGTCTTTCCTGCTTCTCCTCCAATTTACGTTTTTCAAACAAAACAGCTTTTTCCATCTTTTTTGCTTCAATAATGGCAGCCCTGGAGCAAAGCAAGATATTTAGTTTTAAGTTCGGAATGGATGGACACAATGTATCTTAGCAGGGATTGACTTGAAAAGTGTGTAACAGAAGTACCTTTCTATTTTTAAGGCAATTGGGAGTCCACATTGTGCTTCATGTCGCTGGAATGCTGCTCTATACTTAAAAACCCTTTCACACACATTACAGGTCATTTCCTCTCTTGGACTTGAGCATGTGACATCAGAGTTCTTTCCATTTCTAGCAGGAGATGACAACAGGGCGAAGTTTGCTGGCTTTCCAGTTAGCCTCTCTGTGTTACCAGGTCTACCTGGGGTCCTTGTAACAGTGATTGTTACAGATTCATCCAATCCTTTAATCGGGGAAGATTTTGTTGCATCTGTCATTGCTGCAGATTCGCTGCAATTGAAGAAAAACTGATGTAGTGCATACAAAGACACAGAGAAACAAGGAAATGTAGGCCTCAAAATCACATCTTACTCAGTCTCTTCTTCATGTCCATGATTTAAAACAACCTCTACTAAGTTCATGGCCTCCATAATTTATAATGGGGTCTCTAATCACCAGCTCAATGGAATATCTAATCTGGAAAACAACATAATTCAGTGAGGTGCTTACATGTGTTGGGGATGGTGTTGGCAATCAGCTGTTTCGAGAAAAGGTTCAGAGACTTCTCTACAAGATAGGAACAAGATTGAAATGGATCAGCAGCTATACAATTACTGTACCAAAACAAATTCATGGGTGAGCAACACAGAACAAAATAGTCAAAGCTAACTTAAAAAGAATATAGGTTAAGGAGGGAAAACACTTCAGTTGGATCAGATCATCAGATAACATGCATGTCAAAAGGAAACTGACAAACTCGAATCTCTAATGCAGGTTACTGCACGTTTAATGGAATGTAACAAAAGAGGCGTAAGGACAACATTAACTGTCTATTGCACTTAGCCTACTTTCATAAAACCCACATCAGACAAATATACGTTCTTTGGCGCGGTAAAGCCAGAGTAGTAAAGTGAGTACTCTACTTGAGATAGCCAAACATAACAAGGGATTGCATAGTTCTAATGTGGGATCAAATCCGCTGTCATACAGAAGTTAATTGAGCGGATTTCTAGCACTACGAAGCTCCAAAGTTTTACTTCGGAGCAACGATCGGTGGCCCTAAAATGCCCGGTAAGCAGTACAAGCTCACAAACATGTCCCCAAATAATACGCTAAGTTGCTGATTACCCAGTAAAAGTCGCACGCTGTTATGGCCATATGCTGATAGTCAAGAAAACATTAAGGTAATCCATCTGTTCAGAGTAAAACTAGGGCCATGACAGGCGGTCAACACATGATCAGACTTTCCTCCTCTCCACCCCACCCCGCCTTTCTCCTTTCCTCACTTTGCTACTTTGCTTGCTCTCCCGCTCTCCCTTGCTCTCCCTTTCCGCCTTTCCCCTCACCTCCCCGCCGACGTGGCTCTTATATTTTGTTTGCTTATTCGCAGAAGATATTTATTTGCACTATATGCAGAAACTGGCGGGCGGGCTCGGCGGGCTACGGGCGGCGGGTGGGGGTGGAGGGTGGGGAGGTACCTGGTCCTGGTATCCGATCCGGGTATTCCGTTCGTTCATCAGTTTAATAGGGTGTTCAGCGTCTGACAGAGGTCTTAGTAAACAGAGCCGGGATAGGCTCAACCCAATGAGGCACTCTGAAACAAAACTAGTACACTTCTATCTTATTCACTGTTATCATGTTTCTTGGAGGAAATTTGAAATGTCATTTTTTGTTAGTGTTTAAATGCATTTTAGTGTAAAGCATTAGTACAAGGTTAATGTTTCAGGAAAAAGATGATCATCTGTTGTATATTCCTAGTGCTAGGAATTTTCATGACAACGGCCTCAAATGATCTCAGTGAGTGTCCATAATTCATATTTCATTTTATTACATTAGGAATCTTTTAGTTTCTATAAGATTAGGGATTCCCTTGTTCTCCACAATTTATTTTCTGCATAAATTGTAAGGGTACGACTTTATTGACATTGCTTTTTATTCTCACCTACTTCTGCTTTTAGGTTGCCCCGCCACCGAAGCATGTAATGGATCTTTTATTGCGATTGAAGAATCCAGGCATCTGGATGGGTCGTGTAACTTGCTATACAGGATAAAAAATAGAAGTAATTCAAGTGGTTGGGAAAAGTTTGATTATTACATTTTTGAGGAGGAGTCTCCATGTTCCAATATTACTACTTTTGAAGGTTTTGAGTTGAGTTATCAAAATGAAATTGATGTAAAGAAGTGGTATTATATAAGTTCCTTAGTGAGTAAATTTGTAAAGATTGTTGTTATTAGAAGTACGTCTAAAATTATTTTGGACAAGCTTGTTGAGGCTAAAAACGTGTCTACAATTATTTTAGATTCTTGTTGTTTATATTTGCCTGGTTCTACGCAAAATGCCACAGAACCTAATAACATAGAAAGCATCATTCCCAGTAATAGCACTGAGATTCAAGATGTTGAACATCCATATACAAAATGTTTTCTAGTAATAACTGTTGTAGCTGTGATAAGTTGTATAGTTATAATTGGTACAATGTGTATTCTTTTTTATCACCGAAAGAAGAATCCAAAACTAGGCAAGCAGCCACAACCTGGTGATGTACCACTAGGTTTGTTTACATGTGTTCTATACCTCATTCCCATCTCAGTGAACTGGTCAAATTTAATGTGTAAAATTATTTTGTCTTCATTGTAATTATATTTCTTTCTTACAGACTTGACAGTTACTCCGAATCAAGTTTGTGAGATACCGCAGTTTCTATTTATTTATGTCAGTGACAATCAATCATTCAAGGAAGTAGTAATTTTTCTTCAAAGGATGATAGAGAGTACTAAAACAGGTCAAGTGACTGATCCGTACAAGGAAATAGATAATATTTGCCGTGATGATCCATTGGCATGGCTTGCATCTCGCATCAGTAGAAACAATACCAAGGTAAGGAAATGGCGACCCGACAAATATGTATTTTTGAAACATTGATCAATTTTCACAGAATGGCTCTCAACACTACACTTCTGCTCCATTTTAGGTGGTTTTATTTTTGAATGCCAAGATTATGAGTTATTATATAACAAAGACAAGTTCTGTGCCTGACGATCCACTGTCACTTTTGCTGAATGTATTCTTCTCTCAATGGCGCAGTTATCTTCGCAGTGAACAACTGATACATGTTTGGTAAATTAAATTTCACAAATCTAGTAAAAGTCCATAACACACATAGTTCATTATTAATTGATCAATTTTTTTATTTAATTTTATTATCAATTATTTACATGTAGCATGGACAAAATTTGCATACCTAAAAACTACAAAATGTAAGGCTTTCATTTTTTTTAAGGTTTTTGTTACAATGTTTTGTGCTTACATTTTACTTATCTCAACTTATTTTTTAATACAGATCAAGGCTATATGCATTACCCTCACATTTTGATAAACTTATGCAGGACTTGGAGGTGTAAGTAGAAAGCTGCTTTTGACCAAACTTTTTAATTTCACAATGTGTATCAAATTCACATTTCTCATTTCAGTGAGAAATAGAAATCTTAATCAACAAAAATTGTGTGAGTTTTTTTGTTTGTTTTTTCTAACTTTGCTGTTCTGCTTTATTTGAAGGTGTATCGAGAAAGACACAATAACAAAGGAAAGAGAGAAGCTTCAGAGATATTATGAAAAGTATGAAGAGCCCATAAGTCTCTGTTAGTTCTGTTATGTGGAAGATAATTCTTAGAATTAAGACTATTTTTGAATGAGGTTGCAGTTCTGAATGAAACGTGAATCTCCTGCTGTTAAGCAAGACAAATAACTTTAAAATATTTTTACTACTCTTTTTACTGTTTTTATAGTAGGATTATTATAACACGTTTTGTGTGCCAGTCTGAATTTTTGAAATATCCTCATTTTCCTTGAGAGTCTTTAGAGCCATAATTTTGTTGGAGGACAGGAAAAAAACACCCCTTGGTAAAGGAAAATTCTGAAACAGGAACATTCTGGCGGTGTCATATATTGTGATAAGTCAGGGTCTGTGAGTATGTTGTCAACGCTTTCTGATAAGGGAAGAGGAAATCATGTCATCCTATGTAAGACTTCTTAGTACCATCCTAATAAACAGGAAACACTCACTTCTTGTCATTTGATTGTTTTTGACTGTTAACCTGAGTATCTTACTGCCTAACCATTGAGATCGCCACAAAAATATATGTGCCTTTTCTTAAATAATTTTCAGCACCTGAGACAGTGGAATTTCAAACTCGTCAGAATGGCAAGCGTTTTGACAGTAAGTGCCCTGACATGCCCTGACTGTTAGTACCCTCCCTTCCCTTAAAAGAGCGATTTTTGATTGATTGATTGAAATATTTAAAAAATATACATATAAATAAACGCAAAATCAGGAATCAGGATTACCTGCCAATAAAAAATTAGCATGCCACTGCCTTATTCGCAGGTTACCGTTACTCGCGGGGATCTGCGAATACAAACACTGCCATCTTTTCTTGCCTGGGTTTTGCTGGTCTTGCTTTTGCACAGTGCAAACATTTGCTTAGTATTTGCCTTGTATATTTTACCAACTCATTTACTTTTTTCTAAATTGTGAAATTGACGGTACACAGTTTACTTCTCTCAGCAACATCAACCAACACGATGCACATCAAAGCCATTCTTGCATTCATGTCCTTGTTCATCGTGTTAACCTGTAAGTCCTTGTCACCTCTTAATTTAATGTAATTTTCTAATAACACACAACGATCTATAAATATACGAAATACTATCCTTATTGGAACGTTCTCGAAGTTCTCTGATTATTCATGTAGTCCTTTATGGTCTGGAATTATCTATAGATTGTCTTAGGTTATGCTTGTCAGCGGTTTTTCAGAAACCGATTGATCTGGTCTTATGCTTCTATATTCAACATTCCAGTGTTTGTGACTAATGACCTGACATCTTATACCTTGAACAACGATCAACCCGTGTGACGCATATTTTTGTGCTAATTTCTATGTTATTACAATTTTTGTAGATGGTTCGACGGAGGAAAAAAGAGAATGCAAGACCTTATTGAGTTCAGGCCTTGCACTGTACTGCCCAACTGATGAGGAACCAGAAAAGACTGATTGTTGCGAAGATGGAGGATTGTCTTCCTGCTGCATTAAAGAAGTTCAAGATCAAACGTGTGTTTTGAAGTTTGAGAAACATAAATAAAGGTACCATTTCATGTTCCTTTTTAACTGTCTCTGGTTTTGTTGCAGCTTGGTGATGATCATAGCTTTGTCAGTCATCATCTCATGCTTTATTTTGACAATTTTAATTGTGGTGTGCTGCTTTTGTCCCAAGTGTTTGCTCTATGATGCTTGTCGTGCCAAATATTCTCGCTCTGAGATCATATCATACAGTAAGTGGTGGTCTTTTGTTTCACATAACAGTGCAGTCATTAAATTTGTGCTCACTTGTCACTGATTCTTTCTCAACTTTCAGCTAAAGAAGAGGAAATGGCTCTGAATTCTACCATGCCATACGAAAACCAACATGAAACATCAAGTTACAGTACCCAAACCATTAAAATCAAGCCTATTGCAGATGTATGAGGTACAATTTTCTCTTCCTTTTTACAAAAATCTAATGTGTTCTTGTTTTGTAAGCGACAGCTCTGTGTAACTTTTGCCCTCCATTTTCATAACTTATTTTTTATTATTATACATTTTCTACTCTGTAAGTAATATTTTAATTTGATGTATGTCTATCTTTTTGGTTGATCTCTTAATACTGTCTAAAATTGAATCTCACTATGAATAAGGAAGAGATCCCTTTTTCTTTAGCTTGCTATATTACTGTACCTAAATAATGCTATGCTACCCAGGCACTAATGTACAATTTTAAGGACTGTGAGTTATTTTATCTGTTTGACACATTGTCATTGCATTTCTCACGGTTGTGACTCTCAAATGTCCTTATTTTCTTATGCTTTTTCGTAATTATGTGTACTACTGTATCACCAAAGACATGTAATCATGTTTTTAGCTATTATGATGTATGTGATTGCTTTAGAATGTAATTATTTGACCATCACTGTGAGATACAATGGTTGGTCTCTCTAACTTTTTGTGAGGAGTGGGCTTTTTATCCTGAAAAGTGACTCGCATTATGCCTAGAAACTTGCCATGACCTCACTGAGGTCATTGTAAAGTTTCTGAATTGAAACACATTCCAATAGGTTATCACTAGCTTGTGATGTTTGATGTTTTGTACCAGTTTAAGTACATATTGTGATTTTTAGATTGATAGATGGTATGTTTTAGTTAAATGAGTATTACTGTACCAATAAGTTTTTTTACAGTATTGAGAGCCTAATTTTGTACTCCTTTGAACTGTCTTGGCAAATTCTTGCGACAAGAAAATTCAAATTAACTCTTAATTAGTGTAAGGTTTTGCTACTACTCATGTTCTATTGTTGTACAGCCATTGCATTTTTTTCTTCTAGTCATCAGATTCTTGCCTGGTTTAAAAGACATTTTTTTTTTGTTACTGTATACTGTAATTTTTTTATATTAATCTACCACTGTATTTTTTATTTTTTCACTCTTTCAAGTTAAGTTGTTTTTAGCTTCCCTTATTCATTTTCATATGAGAACTATTTATTTTCCTGCCTTTATGGGTAGTAGGGAATGTAGACATTAGCACCTCAGCAGTCAATTGGATTGGTAGCTTTAAAGTAAGTGATTGTGGAATTTTACTGATCATGTTATATGGATGAGATGTTCAGGCATAAGGTGGAAATACCTTTAATTGCTTGTATTTAACCATACTGCTTTGTGCCAAATTCACTCTTTTCTTTGAGTACAGTATTGCTACAATGTGTTCAGGTGCTTCGATTTGTAAGCTTCTGAAATGCTTGTTTTTAAGCGCATGTTATCTCTGTAAGGCCCATAACAGTGCCAAACAGATGCCGTCCATTTTGTTTCCAGAGGAACAAGACTTCACCCTACTCTGCATCTTAAGAATGCTGTATGTACAGAAGTCATGCAGACATTCAGAGTGAGGTACATTGCTTGAACATTTTCTAATAAAAGTTTGTACTTTGTTTAAAAAATCTTTTTCATTCCTACTAGCTTTAGAAAGGGTTTATGACTGCCCCAGGAAAAATACAGGTGTAAATAGCAATTAATTGAATTTTAACATATTACTTGGCTAGGAGGTGAAGCTGCAAGCAGGAAGGGAAAAGGCACTTGAGTGCCAAAAGCAGCTCAGGAGGTACTCGTAACACATCCACTCCACATTTAATTTAATGCAGTGTGCAGAGGAGGCCAGATGCCCTTTAAGGGATAACCTGTGAACCTCTCCACCGGCAGCATTATCAGGGTGGCCACGAAATCGGAGTTTTCAAATTCCCTGACTTTTCCCTGACTGTTTTCCGCATGTTCCCTGACTTTTAAATGTATTTTAATTGGAACTTTTTGCCTCCCAAAAAATTGAAAGTGCCACCGGAAGTTTGAAAACAACAATATGGGGCAAGATTCAGTCATTTTCCCTGACCAACATTCAATTTCCCTGACTTTTCCCTGACTTCCCTGACCAATATTATTTTCCCTGACTCTTCCCTGACTTCCAGGTTGCGTGGCCACCCTGATTATGTAGCTAATCAAGAGTGGCAGATCAGCTAGAGCAAAATATGATCACACTTAGTTGCCACCCTGCCACTTGGCTCTTTTGAACACTTTAAACTGCAAAACATTAGTACCCGACTGTTTGTTCATAGCAAGAGCCACTCATTTCTTAGGTCACGCAGTCAGGTCTGACATCAGCTCAATAAATACTCCTTCCAAAACTTGCTGGTTGACGCGGCCCCCCCTCTGTATTGCCACTTTCCCTCACTCACCTCGCTTATGGCAAAAACAGTATTAATTAAAACAGAAATATAAATTAGATCTTTTTATTGATCAATACTGTGACAGAAAGAGCATATTTAAGAGAAGTCATAAATCTGAAGTTCAAACTGTGGTCCCTTTCCTATATACAAGATTCTGTTAAAACCTATTTGTCAATTTAAAAAATCCTAAAACATATACATCAAAAGTTTCAGCAAAGTCGGAGTTATTACCAAGTCTACAATCAATGTCAAATTTCATTAACAAATCACATAGCTAGAAGTTTATGTTATCATGAATATTATGTGTATCATTAGAATCCTTCGAATGTCAGAAGAGGCGCTTTTCATAAGAGAAAAGGCTGTGAACATTACCTTCTGCTTGGGCAGAATTGGAACGCCTCTCTAGTTTGAGCTCTCCGGAGTACATCATTGACCTGGAGACAAAAAAATTGTGTTAGTCCTGAGTGAAGAACGCATGCAAGATGTTTTAAAGTATAATTAAGTACACACCGTAAGGCTGATAGACTTCGTGAACCGATATCTTGGCAACCATGTCTGATTCCACAAGCAAGGTAAGGGAGGAAACTCCGTACTGAGCCCTTATCCACAATTGCTCCACTGACACCTTGTGCCACCTTTAACTTATCCATTTCACTGTAAAAATGTAACATTGTTTAGTCTGAAAAGGTGAATAGAGGGAAACGCACTGCAGTATGTACCAACTTACTTGTGGAAATAACGATCCATTGCAGCTCCCTTGGCATCTTTGCGATTCATGGCCTCAAGGCTACCCATACCTCTATATTTTTTCAATCTCACACCATCTGAGAAGAAATATTCACCTGGAGCTTCTGAGGTTCCAGCTAACAGGGATCCCATCATGACTGCAAGGAAAACAAGTTGTCAGAAAAATGATAGATGGTTATATTATGGATCATATCATAAACATCAAGATCTGACCTGTTGATGCTCCCAGAGAAAGAGCCTTTATAATATGTCCTACATATTGAATGCCACCATCGGCAATCACAGGAACGCCAAATCTTCTGGCATATTCAGCCACCTTGTAAACTGCAGTTCCTTGTGGCCGGCCTACAGCCATTACTTCCTGGGTTATACAAATAGACCCTGAACCCATTCCAACACGGAGACCATCGACACCAGCATCTATCAGGTTTTTGGCCTGAGCTGCCGTAACAACTGCAATTGGGAGGAGCAGAATTAGTATTCAAGGAGTTAAGATCAATAGTATTTTAAAATGAATAATGGTAAGGGCTTACCATTTCCTCCAACGACTTGAAGTTCAGGATAAGTCTGTTTAATATATCTAATCATATCAATTTGATAAGTTGAATTACCCTGAGAAGAATCCTGAAAGAAGGTGAAAGAGAGAAACAATTAAACAATGTTAAAGAATAAAAGCCAGGGGTGTTAGATGATAAATGTATGTACAAACCAGAACAACAACATCTACTCCAGCCGCAGCAAGAAGACGTAATCGCTCCTTGTCATTTTCGCGTGTTCCAATTGCTGCACCAACAAGTAATTGTTTATTGTCATCTTTACTGGCATCAGGGTAACTACGAGCCTTTTTCAGATCTGTTCTGGCAATTAAAGCAACTAGCTCATCAGAATCATTGACTATCGGTAATTTTCCCTTCTTTGACTTTTCAATTATATCATTGGCTTCAGTTAAAGTGACACCAGCAGATGCAACAACTAGATCCTCCCTCTTTGTCATTACCTGAAAAATAAAACAATTTCATGCCTCAGGTCAAGACAATCGACGAAAATCACATAAAGTAAGCAAGATAACAAGAATGACAAGCAGTAAGCAAGCCAAGGGAAATAGTTGTGAAGGAGCAAGATCGAATTTCGGCTACAAAACTTATAATACTTACGTTTTCCAGCTTGATGTTATGATTCTGCTTCCCCTCCAAGAAATCAATATCACGAGAGGTAACCATACCTAAAAGTTTGCCTCCTAATTTTCCAGTATTTGTTACTGGGATACCACAGAAACCATGTTCTTTCTTTGTTTCAAAGACTTCACCCACCTAGCAAAGCAATAATTGACTGGATTTACAATACAATGGAGATTTCTAATAGGTAAAAGGAATTTCAAAATCTAAGATAAGGTATTTGATTACTGTTTAAAAACCTACATAAAATACATGAGAAATAGTAAAGCAAATCTATCACGGATGGAAAGGGGTCCTGCCAATACTACACTGCGTGACTTTTTTTAGGGGGGGGGGGGGGTTCAAGTATTTTGGGGTCTCAAAAGGATCAAGACCGCGTGTAGGACCCCATAACATACAGATTATGGGGTCTCTATGGACTCTAATGATGTTCCTGATCCTTATGAGACCCAATAAAATTTGTACCCCCCCCCCCCTTTATGTCACTTAGTATTGGAACGACCCCACAGGATCAATTTTTAAAACATTCCTACAGGAAGACAACTGATAAAACTACATTACTCACTGTGTCATCTGGCTTTAGAACCACAGGATCTCTAATAAAACCATGTTTGTACTTTTTGACTTTGTTAACTTCATTTGCTTGATACTCAGGAGTACAGTTATGATGAATGATTCCTATTCCGCCACAAAGCTGAAAAGTTTTATGTTCCAATAATTAAAGGAAATAAATTACAGAACATAACAGTGAACGGTGAACAGGGAAATACCTACAGCCATAGCAATTGCCATTTCCGATTCCGTTACTGTATCCATGGGAGAGGAAACCAGAGGTGCTTTCAGAGTGATTTTCTTTGTGAGAGCAGAGGTAAGTTCCTAAACAAGAAAAATGAAAAGCTCCATTAGAAATGACACTAGACATAAAGGACGATCGCCCGGGAGGAAACGACCTTGAAAACAAGGGGCGGGGGTGGAGGTTGGGGTGAGGATGGGGGCGGGAGGTCCCATCCCCGGGCAGCGGCTGGCTGGGCCACGCCGGGACCGCTGAGTGAGCCCGCTCAGGCCCACTCGCCTATCGATCAGCGCCGTCAAGACCATAGTCGCGGCATACAACGCTCGCTCCTGCAGCTGCGTGGCGCGCCTCAGCAAACGCGTCCCCCTGTGAGATGGGGGAGGGGGGGGGGTCAGGAATTCCAGGAGAGCACCACGACGGGGACGGGGAGCCAGACCTGGCTATTACATACGCACCACGTCGTCCGCGGTGAAGTCGATGAAGCCCGGAAGGATGATGAAGTCACTGAAACAAGGAAAGGGTTGACGGGTTAGGTCAGACGGCTGTCAGTTCGGCTGCTGAAGAGGGGAGGAAGAGGGCCGCGGACGCCCTTGAAAAAGACAAACGGGGGAAGCCAGACTCAGAATTGCGCCGAAGAGGGCTTAAGAATCCGCTCGGAGACTGAGCCGTTTAGACAGACAACAGACAGCGCGCTAACTCTTCCTTCCCAACCGCGACCGAGACCGCGACGGTAGCGTCTCATGCTAGTTTTCTTGTCGGGCGTGAATTTGAGCTGTGCTTTCGAGGGGGAGGACGGGGTGGAGTTCAGCCAGGGAACGGCTTCATTCCTTTCGTCATTAATTTTCCTGTGCTTAGCGGAAGGGTAGAGAAGGGACTGTGCCCAAACCACGTGACTTTAAAGGGTCCAAATATTACGAGGTTCCAAAAGGACCAGGACTGACATTGGGGTTCGTGGGACCCCATGATGCTTTTATACCGGGGCACATATAAAATGAGGCCCCTACCGACTCCGATGACCGGCCGGAGCTTTAAGGGACCCCGTAATATTTAGATCCCCAAGTCGAAGCGAACAGCCCCTAAAGCAACAACTCCCCACGGAAGTGCGCGCGTTTACGTAAGGGACACGAGCGGCGATTGTGCGTGTACGCCAACTTACGTAACTAGGCGAGTTCCAGGATCAAAACACCTCGACCTCGAACTCCCCCCCCCCCACTTCTGTCTCTCTCTTCATCCAGGCGACGTGATGTAGAGCCCATGGAGACAAGCGGCCCGTGGGCCACGCGCTCACACTGGGTTACTCTTTGTCGGACAACAGGTGGAGACCTTTCAGGCAACTTGTCCAGTCGCTGGTCCCGCTAGGACCCAGAGCGGTCATTGTCCCTGCCCGACCAGCATGACTTATCTCCAGGCCGGGCAGGCGAGGCCGTAAGACGATCCCGTGGGGTATTTTTATCCAGCTTCAGGTTGGCTTCCTCCCCCCCCCCTCCCTCCCATCTCGGGCCACGGCCACTCCAGTGTCTCCGGGGCCTTTACATAACAAGAATCCAGCGCCTCAAGCCTCCTCTGGACCGAGGCTTGTCGGGGATTTAAATTTATAAAGGACACAAAAAAAACAATGCGACTCTAAAAATAAACCACTGGCAGTCAGGATTATGGCGACAACCTTGACCAACCCCCCCCCC